TACTGCTTCCCCTTTCCTTGTTCGTCACTTTATCACGTCTGTTTAACTTACTGCTTCCCCTTTCCTTGTTCGTCACTTTAACACGCCTGTTTAACTTACTGCTTCCCCTTTCCTTGTTCGTCACTTTATCACGTCTGTTTAACTTACTGCTTCCCCTTTCCTTGTTCGTCACTTTAACACGCCTGTTTGCCTTACTGCTTCCCCTTTCCTTGTTCGTCACTTTAACACGTCTGTTTAACTTACTGCTTCCCCTTTCCTTGTTCGTCACTTTATCACGCCTGTTTGCCTTACTGCTTCCCCTTTCCTTGTTCGTCACTTTAACACGTCTGTTTAACTTACTGCTTCCCCCTTTCCTTGTTCGTCACTTTATCACGCCTGTTTAACTTACTGCTTCCCCTTTCCTTGTTCGTCACTTTAACACGTCTGTTTAACTTACTGCTTCCCCCTTTCCTTGTTCGTCACTTTATCACGCCTGTTTAACTTACTGCTTCCCCTTTCCTTGTTCGTCACTTTAACACGCCTGTTTAACTTACTGCTTCCCCTTTCCTTGTTCGTCACTTTATCACGCCTGTTTAACTTACTGCTTCCCCTTTCCTTGTTCGTCACTTTATCACGTCTGTTTAACTTACTGCTTCCCCCTTTCCTTGTTCGTCACTTTATCACGCCTGTTTAACTTACTGCTTCCCCTTTCCTTGTTCGTCACTTTAACACGTCTGTTTGCCTTACTGCTTCCCCTTTCCTTGTTCGTCACTTTAACACGCCTGTTTAACTTACTGCTTCCCCCTTTCCTTGTTCGTCACTTTATCACGCCTGTTTAACTTACTTCTTCCCCATTCCTTGTTCGTCACTTTAACACGTCTGTTTAACTTACTGCTTCCCCCTTTCCTTCTTCGTCACTTCAACACGCCTGTTTAACTTACTGCTTCCCCCTTTCCTTCTTCGTCACTTCAACACGCCTCTTCACCTTAGTGACTCCCCCATTCCTTGTTCATCACGTCAACGCGCCTGTTTACTTTAGTGATTCCCCCTTTCCTTTTTTGTCACTTTGACACGCCTGTTTACCTTAGCGATTCCCCCTTTCCTTGTTCGTCACTTTAACACGCCTGTTCACCCTACTGCTTCACCCTTTCCTCGTTTGTCACTTTAACAAGCCTTTTCTCCTTACTGCTTCCCCCTTTCATTGTTTGTCACTTCAACACGCCTGTTTACCTTAGTGATTCCCCCTTTCCTTGTTTGTCACTTCAACACGCCTGTTCACCTTAGTGATTCCCCTTTCCTTGTTCGTCACTTCAACACGCCTGTTTACCTTAGTGATTCCCCTTTCCTTGTTCGTCACTTCAACACGCCTGTTCACCTTAGTGATTCCCCCTTTCCTTGTTCGTCATTTCAACACGCATGTTTACCTTAGTGATTCCCCTTTCCTTGTTTGTCACTTCAACACGCCTGTTCACCTTACTGCTTCCCCTTTCCTTGTTCGTCACTTCAACACGCCTGTTCACCTTGTTTACTGATTAGTGCTTCCCCTTTCCTTGTTCGTCACTTCAACACGCCTGTTCACCTTAGTGATTCCCCCTTTCCTTGTTCGTCACTTCAACACGCCTGTTCACCTTAGTGATTCCCCTTTCTTGTTTGTCACTTCAACACGCCTGTTTACCTTACTGCTTCCCACTTCCTTGTTTGTCACTTCAACACGCCTGTTCACCTTACTGCTTCCCCCTTTCCTTGTTCGTCACTTCAAAACGCATGTTCACCTTACTGTGATCCCGCTTTCCTTGTTTGTCACTTCAACACGCCTGTTCACCTTAGTGATCCCCTTTCCTTGTTCGTCACTTCAACACGCCTGTTCACCTTACTGCTTCCCCATTTCCTTGTTTGTCACTTCAACACGCCTGTTCACCTTACTGCTTCCCCTTTCCTTGTTCGTCACTTCAACACGCCTGTTTACCTTACTGCTTCCCACTTTCCTTGTTTGTCACTTCAACACGCCTGTTCACCTTAGTGATCCCCCTTTCCTTGTTCGTCACACTATCATACTTTCTTTTCTCGACACGAAAAATCAACCCATCCTTCTCCCTTTTCCCATCACCAGAGCAGACTGTCATTTTGATTCCACCTTGAATAGAAACTAACATAATTTATATTTTTACCTTACGTAAACGGCATTGATATCAATCAAATCCAATAATGACAACATTCCCACAGAATATCAAGCTTCCCATCTCATATTTACAAATTGTATAAACTCTCGAAATTGAACGTTACATTTTTTACAATAAGAGAATATCAAAGAGAAAATTAGGATCGATTTTCTTTTTTCAATTACAGTTTGTCTGCATCAAAGGAGAGCTGGATTTACAACCGGCTTTTTTACTCTTCCGCGTTTATGATGATATGTATATAATCAATAATTGCAATATTTGTCTGAGCGTCTGGCTGCCAAGGGGGAACCGGAATAATGAGGTCAATCAGTTTGATCTCTGGTCAATGCCAACGTCACGAATCGGACTTTACATTGTCAATTCGAATAGCGTATTAATTTGGAATGCCATAAGTGATGTGATATTGGATAATATACCAACATATTACATTGATTTTAACATAGCTGAGTAGAGTAGTTTGTTTGTTGTTAAACGCCGCACTCAGCAATATTCCAACAATATGGCGGCGGTCTGTAAATAATCGAGTCTCGACCAGACAATCCGGTGATCAACAGCATGAGCATCGATCAACGCAATTATGATACGATGACATGTGTCAACCAAGAGCCTAACCACCCGATCCCGTCGCCTTTGCGACAAGCATGGATTAGTGAAGATGAATTCTAACCCGGATCTTCACGGGTGTGTCAATTTGGAATGAACAATAGTGATATATGATATCGTATATTATTACCCATATGGTGAAACATAACTAGTGTCATATATATCATATGTGCTCATGTGCACATATCACTTTTGCCTAGAAACCATTGTTTCTGTTTTTTTGTCGTCTGTGACGTCATTAAACAATTGAACGTTATGTCAATGAAAAGGGCCGTCACACTTGCTTACCATGTTTTACTGCACAAAACAATATGAAAAAAATGGCTAATAAAGAATTTATTACACTCGAGTAAGTATATCATATGACTTGTGCTCTCGCCCATGCAACACAAAATTTCACACTCGTTTCGTATAAGTTGTATGACACACTTGCTCGTGTAATAATATTTCTATATATTAGAACATATTACATTGATTTTAACATCGCTGAAACCGGGAATAGTGAAATCTGGAAACATGTTTTCACAAATACATGTTTCTGTTCGTTTCATGTTCGGTTGTCGGCTGTATTGCGACGGTGTGCTGTTTGCTCAACAAATTTCCTATATGTGAAAGTATTTGACCTATAGAAATGTCCGTGGCATCACGTGGTTCGAGAAGACATGACCGCTGTGATGTCACGTCTTGGACATTCCCCGACGGACGGGGGGAGGTCACTACCACTTGTGATTCCGGACAGGCTTTGTTACAATGTGCTCGGAATTGATGAACTTTTGTTGCCCCGCACGTCGCTGGCTCCAGTGGGGTCGCTTGTAGATGGAGAGTTCAGGTTATGATCAAGGCGATGGGTTGTTTGCTTGACCTTCAACGTCTACAACGTACATACGTCAAGGTCATGGATGGTATTGTACACTTCAAGTATCCGCACTTGGCGTTTAAAAATATGTGAAACACTTAACACGAATATCCCAAATTGCTATTTTACGTTTGTAATGAATTCCTCATTGGGTTGGTTAATCAGTACATCTCTTTTCAATATTAACAACAAACACATCAAAACTCGTATGATGTAATTTAAAATGCGAATAGGCACATGCAATCACTTTCTAAGTATCACAACTGCATTATACGATGTAATTACATCAGACCAGTTGGATTTTCCTACGTACTATTACTACAACTACTACTACGCATACTACTACTACTACAACTACAACTACTACTACGCATACTACTACTGCGTATACTATAACAACAAATACTACTACTGCTGCTACTATAACAACAAATGCTACTACTGCTGCTACTATAACAACAAATGCTACTACTGCTGCTACTGTGTTTCTCTGTGTCTTCTGTGGTCTCTCTGTCTCGGTCTGTGTCTCTTTGCTCTCTGTGTCTGTCTCTGTGTGTGTCTGTCTCTCTCTGTGTGTGTCTTTGTGTCTCTCTCTGTGTCTCTTTCTCTGTCTCTTTCTCTCTGTGTGTCTGTGTCTTTGTCTGTCTGTCTCTTTCTGTCTCTGTCTGTCTCTCGTGTTGCCTCTTTGTCTTTCTCTGTGTGTCTGTGTGTCTGTCTTGTCTCTGTCTGTCGTCTGTCTCTGTCTTTGTGTGTGTCTCTGTCTGTCTTTCTCTGTCTCTTTGTCTTTCTGTGTCTCTGTGTCTGTCTCTTTGTCTGTCTTTGTCTGTCTGTCTTCCTGTCTCTCTGTGTCTCGTCGTCTCTGTCTCAGTGTCTCTGTGTGGTCTCTGTGTCTGTGGTCTGTCTCGTGTCGTGTCGGTCACTAGATCTTTCACTAGATCTGCTGCTGCTATGATAGATCATGCTGTGATAGATCTGTGTCTGGAGACAAATAGATGCTTCTTTCTCAGTGAATAGATGCTTTCTTTCTCAGACAAATAGATGCTGCTATGTGATAGATGCTAATGGTCTTCTGCTGGCTCCTGTGATAGATGCTGTTCACTGCCTGTGGAGTCTTTCAGACAATAGATCACTGCTGCTGAGCAATGGGTCTTTGCTGTTCTTTATGACAATGGTCTGCTGCTGTGTATGTGTCAGCTCTTTCTTTCATCTCTTCCTTTCTCTTCTTTCCTCCTTCTTTCATCCTTTCTCTTTCCTTCTCTTCTTCATCCTCTTTCTTTCATCCTTTCTTCTATTCATCTTTCTTTCCTGTCTTTCATCTCAGTTCTTTCTTTCTTCATCCTTTCCTCTTCATCCTTCTTTCTTTCTCCATCTTTCTCTTTCTTTCATCTTTTCTTTCTCTTTCTTCCTTCTCTTTCTTTCATCTCTTTCTTTCCTTTTCTTTCTCTTTCTTTCCATCTTTTCTTCCTCTTTCGTGTCTCTTTGTCTCTTTCTTTCATCTCTTTCTTCTCATCTTTCTTCCTTTCTTCCTCTTCTCTTTCTTTCTGTCTCTTTCCTTCTGTCTTTCTTTCGTCCTCACTGTCTCTGGTCGTCTTTCTCTGTGTCTTTCTGTCTTCTTTCTTTCTCGGTCTTCTGTTCCTTTCCTTTCCTGTCCTTGCCTCGGCTCGTCTTTCTCGTCTGTCTCTCTGTCTTTCTGTGTCTTCTTTCTGTGCTGTCTTGCTGTCTCCTGTGTCTCTTTCTTTCTGTGGCTCGTCTTTCCTGTCTCTGTCTTTGTCTGTGTCTGTCTTTTTCCTGTTCTCTGTCTGTCTCTGTCTCTGCTGTCTTTCTCTCTCGGCTCGTCTCTTTGTCTGCTGCTGCTCTCTTTCTCTCGTCCTGTCTCTTTTTCTTTCCTTTCTTTCCTGTCTTCTGTCTGTCTCTGTCTCGTCTCGTCTCTCTCTGTGTCTTTGTCTCTGTGTCTTTCTCTCGTCTTTTTCTTGGGGTTTGTTTGTCCTCTTTCCTTCTTTCCTTCTTTCTTTCTTTCCATCTCTTTCTCGTCTTCTCTCTCGGCTCTTTCTCTCAGTCACTGTCTCGTCTCTTCATCTGTGTCTTCATCTTCTGCTTGCTATCAACAACTAATCACTGCTTTCTCTCAACAGATGTCTGCTACTATAACAACATCTTCTTTCTCTTCTCTCTTTCGTCAAATCTCAACAAATGTCTTTCTTTCTCTCTTTCTTTCATCTTCTCTCAACAAATGCTGGATCACTGCTTCAGATCACTGCTATGATAGATCACTGTGTGGGATCTTTCTTCACTATGATAGATGCTCTTCGTCAACAAGTCTTAACAATGACAGATCTTTGTGCTGTCTTCTCAGATCACTGCTATGGCAAATGGATCAAATCTTCTGTAGATCAGTAATGTCTGCTGTGACAAGGTCTGTGAATAGATCTGCTATGATAGATCTCAAGGAATAGATCTCTGTGTGTGGCTCATCCTTCCTTGCTGTCTGCTATCTACTCTTTCTTTCATCCTACTACTCTTTTCATCTTTCTTTCCTCATCTCCATCTACTATATTTCTTCCATCCTTCTTTCTTTCATCCTACTACTACTTCATCCTACCACTACTCTTTCTTCATCTTTCTTCTTTCTTTCTTCTCCTTTTCTTTTCATCTACTTTATCTTTCTTTCATCTTTCTCTTTCTTTCATCTTCTTCTACCTTTCTCTCCTTCATCCACTACTGCTATCTTTCATTCCTCTTTCTCCACTACTACTTTCCTACTCCTATCTTTCCTTTCATCCTTTCTCTTCTCATCTCTCTTCTGTCTCTTTCTCATCCTACTCTTTCTTTCATCTACTACTACTACTTTCTTTCATTTCTTTCATCTACTACTACTACTTTCTTTCATCTACTATTCTTCATCCTTTTCTCTTTTCCTGTCATTCTACTTCTACTCTTTCTTTCATCTCTTTCTTTTTCTCTTTCTTTCCTTCTGCTCTGTTCTTTGCTCTATACTCTCTCATCTTTCCTCTCGCTCCACTACTACTTTCCTTCATCTTCTACTATTCTTTTCTTTCATCTACTACTGCTGCTGCTGTCTACTATTCTTCTCTACTGCTCTCTGTCTTTCTGGTTTCTCTTTCTCGTCTTTTCTGCTACTCTCTTTCTTTGTCTGTCTACTACCTCTTCTGTCTGTCCTCTGTCTGTCTGTCTACTGCTGTCTGTCTTCTTCTGTCTGTCTACTACTGTCTCTGTTTCTTCTGTGTCTCTGCTGCTACTGTCTTTCGTCTCTTTTCTTTCTGTCTTGCTACTACTGTCTGTTTCTCTTCTTTCTGTCTACTGTCTGTCTTTAAGTTCTGCTCTTTCTTCGTCTCTCTTCTCGTCTGTCTCTCTTCTGCTGCTGTCTCGTCTCTTTCTGTGTCTCTACTCTCTCTCTCTTGTCTTTCTGTTCTCTCTTCCTGTCTCTGTCTCTGCTGTCTGTTCTTCTTCTCTTTCTCTCTCTCTGTCTCTCTTCTCTGCTGTCTGTCTGTCTGTCTCTCTCTCTGTCTCTCGTCTGGTGGTGAAAACGTTCGGTCGTCACGCCTTAAGCCCCGGGTTCTTTTCCCCACATGTGTTCAACGTGGGTTCCCAATTTCTAGTGTCTCCTGCAATGAAATTGCTGGAAAATTGCTAACTTCAAACTCACACTTCTTTCAGCATGTTTTACAGTACATTGTAGCACTTGCTGAGGTGAAAATGGGGTTTTGCTTTTCGCTCCAAATTATTGCACGAACATAGTGCGACTGCGTGTAAACGTCTGTGCGTGCGTGTGCATGTGGGGAATGGGGGGGGGGTGCAGGCAACTTTTGTTTGTCTGTCTGTGTGCCTCTGTGCCTGTGCGTGTATGTAACTACACTATGCGTCAGTTTACATGGATACCTAATTTATATTGACATCGAGCCGATCGTTCATCCCTGCGAAGTATCTTGCATAGTAGCATCAAGTACAGTCTTTTAGCGTCTCAAGTATGAGTTGAGTTGAGTTGGGCTTTACGTCACATCGCTATTATTCCAGCCATATAGTGACGAGAACAAGTCTGCATTAATAATCATTGTAGGTACAGAGTCAAAATGAGTTTTATTTCAAAAACGTATATTCATTACATTGTCATTTAAAGTATGAAGGAACCGGGGATTAAAACCACCGACCCTACAGACGCGTACCCATTCTGCCACAGAGGCAGTTCGCCGTCTTGAAGACGTCGTTACGTCAGTCATAATTGATAGATGAAACCATCGCTCCATAACATCCACATCGTTATCCTTCATCACTATTCGCCGTTGCTATATGGAAGCAACAATGCCTATGTGATGCTAAATTTTCATTCACTCACTCGCTCAACGCCATTCAGTTCGCTCATTCCTCACACAGCAAGCTGACGCGGGTTGTCATAGCCGACACACTGTTCAAAGACACGTATCAACGTAGTTAGAATTATTACGCTCTGATGAAATGCCAATTTAGCCAGTATTGCGGTTAATGCAACTGTTTTCTCTATGCAAATACCTCTTTATTGAAACAGTTAACCAGGATCGTGTTGCCAAGGATCTGTATTCCCTCGCCAGGGGAATATTTGGTCAATCGCCCTGGTCGTATGGTAAACCTAAGCATGCAAACAATTCGGGCGATGGAGCTGATGTCAGTATCAGCAGTGTAAGGCCGGTGTATTACAACATCATCACGGTAACCATCGACATCATCTACAGCGATATCACCAAGCGTCGAGACGATCTCTTGACCTTTCAGTGTTTAAACAGGATTGACCGCTAGTGTCCACTACCCGCTGACAACAGACCTGTGTATCTCTGTATCGTTGTTTGTTGTTTGATATATACAGTTGACACCTTTTAGTCTGGAAACCACGCTATCCGAAGATTTTATTATTACGGCCAGCGTGCGCAAAGGCATACTTCAGTAAAAATCAATTGTTAATACATTTTGTTTCTTTATATACTTTTATTTCAAATTTGTCTGCAAATTATTACAGTATACATGAGTGTTCATTTGATAAGTACATTTTTGTACTTATTTACTGTATGTTTTCTGAACGTGCAAATAATATCAAGAACATTTAATCATTTTACTGTTTGCTTGCAAAACGTTCTACCCATGTCACAGAAAATGTGAAGGATTCTTACATTAATCGTAGGTATGTTAACCATTCATATAGCGAAAGGTCCGGGTTCGATTCCCCAAATGGGTGCTTTCTATGTCGAGCAATGTCCATATGGCTATCTGTTTTCATATCATTTCAACCGAATTTCTGTTACTGTATATTCTTGATATTGTTTCTTATTTAAATCATAACATTATTAGATAGCATTAAAACAGTAACTAAATTACTGATGTCATACACTGAATTAATGATATCCCGAATTACATCAATTATATGTTTATCATGTAAATATATTCTTAATATGGACAGTGAGATTGATTAAAATTAGAAGCTACCTGAGACGATATTGGTTGGGATTGGTCATTTATGCTCGTCGTAAGAGGCGACTAACGGAAGAGGGTTGTCAGGTTCGTTAACCTGCTTGATACAAGTCATCGTATCTCAATTGAATATTCGATGCTCATTCCAGTCACTGGATTGTGTGATCCAGACTCGAGTATATCCAGATCGCCGTCATAAGAACTGAGTGCGGCGTAAAACTAATCTCACTCACTCACTCACTCACTCATAAGAACATTACTGAGAGGGGGTTAAACAAAAAACAAACAAAAGAAAAGTGCTGCAATAACTTCCCATACCCTCGCCGTTGTAGTATTAAACATTTCTAAATGCGGCGTAAAACATTACTCATACTCATCCTACTTAATGGAGCATCATCTTGATTCGACGGTATCGCCATGTGCAACACTGCCTTGATTCCACGGCGTTCCCCAGTCCTGGGATAACGGTGCTGGAGCCTCACATCCCCGCACACCACCGTGCTGTGACACTGGGTCCACAGCTCGCAATATGCAGCTCCCTCGCTCAATCATTACTGCCGTCAAACTGCTAGCGGTGTTGGTATAGCCGTCCATTTGTCCAGTATCCTGGCTGGGACTGAAGTGAGGGTGTACGACTTGGGGCACAGACCTACCGGTGCATGTTTGTAACGTTTCCAGGATCAGAAGCTAGTGGTTTAATTTAGGTCACTACACCAACTGATGCTCTTGAAGAATGATGTAAGTATAGATATATCTGGCACGAGATTATGTGTACGTTGTTTTGTCAGTGATTAATGAAACTATTGACTCGCTTAATATCTGTTAATGTTGTGATATCGGGCAAGGAATTATATCGGGAAAACCGTATGCTTCTGTTGGTTGACACCCATATCCATTATAAGGTAGATATATAATTTAGTTCACTAACAAGGACTGGGGGAAGATATGTGCCTGTTAAATTTCGTTTTTGTTAGGACGATCTGACATTAAGTTATGGCTTTATCTGTGCTGTATGTTTCTTCTGAGACGCTTTTGATACTGACCGGACACCAGTACCAGCTCGGTCCAGCTTGTACAACGTTGCTGCGAACAACGGCGGGGTGTGGGGGTGTAGGGGAGGGAGGGGGCGAGGGGGCTGAGTGTGCATTTTAGATGACGGTTACATCACTTGCCAACTATATATATTTAGTCCTATGAATACTTGCAGTTTATATCATCCTCGCAATTCCACAATGACCTGTTTCGCGGTGGGGTTAAGCTGACGTTAAATGTTTCTGTTTTATGACTCTAATGGCTCTGCTGACGTAATGCCAAGTTTGTAACGTTTTTAAGTATATCTGACTAATGTGAATCATTGCATGGTTGTTTGTTTGTTTGCGCAGCTGGAGGTAATTATGCACGGCAAACTCTCAAGTAATCATATTTTGGATCTATGTACTTTTTGTTAAACCGACATGCTTTTTGTCATAGTGATGAGGGATGTTGCATAAACAACACACTAGTGTTGTTCAGATTGACTCAAGATCATTGTTTCCAGATCGGCATGATACCATTATATGTTCTGAATGGCCTTGCTATTCACTTTCTTAAATTTCTTGTGTTAGCCAAATATGAGTGAGTATGGTTTTACGCCGCTTTCAAGCAATATCAAGGCAGAAGACATGAGAAATGGGTTTCACACAGTATACCCACGTGGGGAATCGAACCGGGTTCTTGGATGTTGCCACCGAACCCTTTTACCACTAAGCTACTAACAGCCACAGCCTTGCTAAACATGACCCCTGATATTTCAGACCCTGCTAATCTGAAAAGCCTGTTACGAACATCTACATATTTTTACATGAAGGATGATACTCTGTTCGAAATGTCCGTTGATATTAGAGCCAAAAAGTGTTATGTTGACATTAATTCTAACGGTACCGTCCGGATTAACAAGATTTCGCGAACACCTGGTGTCCTTACTGATTCCCTCTGCATTTATATAGTTTACTCCGCTATTTTGTGTGTAAGTGTATAATGGGTAATGTTACAGTGAGTGGGTTTATTTTTACGCAGCTTTCAGCAATATCCCAGCAATATCACGGCGGGGGAACATCGGAAATGGGCTTCACACATTGTACCCATGTGGGGAATCGAACCCGGTTCTTCGGCGTGACGAGCGAAAGATTTAACCACTGGGCTACCCCACCGCCCTGGGTAATGTTACAATGTGTGTAATGGTTGTATAATAGATAAGCAAGACTGGTTATTCTCTGGCGTTTTATGCATCACGGTGTCGAGATATAAATGAAACCACGATGTTTTCTGGGAGATTCCGGTTGATACACCTGCCTGTGTAAAATATCGCAACTTGCAATGTGCCGAGAAAACAATCAGAACATTCCGTGTTGCAAACGTCAAATTCCTCCGACCAAGAACACACATGTCAGATTGTTTTGACACACAACACACGTGTTGCACTGCACATGAAGCGTTTACCAATCAAATTATTTCAGCTTCAGGCTTCCGAATAGTTTCATTAAATTCTCCTGTAAATACAATTTTTAGCTATCGACTTTGCGGTATTTGTGCTTAGGTCAAGCCTCGGTTTGATATTTGCGATTTACATACAGCGTTTGTTTAAGACGTACACACAGTGTCTGATTGCAAGCCAGCGTGGACGGGCTGTTTGTCTTCCTGGATCCGAGAGGGAAGACACACATGAACCTGTATAAAACAGGTGGGACGTTGTGTTGAGGGGAAGCTGCAAATACTTGGCTCCCGGTCTTGTGGGTTCCACCATCATTACCACAAACGTTATTTTTTTCATAGAGATTCACACTGGGGGTGTTAGGTTTCGCCGCAGACAGTTTGCACGAGTTTGTTGTGCGGGGTTCGCGGAAACGCCCACTACCCTAATGAAAGCTGTGGGAAACAGACTGAAGCCCGGTTTACACAAGCCGACCCAGTACAGATGTGCAGTTGCATGTCTGATTGGTTCATTGGATTACATCTTTAGGTCGAGATTAAAAGAAACACATAAATTCACATGAATTCACGAAAATGCTGTATATTTAAATATACACTCGCTGGCATTTTACTTTTTTAACCAATCAGAACCTATTGTATTGGTGTCAATTTTAACACCTGGTCTTTTATGGTTGTCTTTACATTTAATACTTGTAACGGGTTGGCTGTGTTAAGAGCCATGGTGGCACAACCCTGGGAGGTATCTCCTGAGGGATTTGTACTTCGTTTACATCAAGCCGATAGTCGTATTCGATATGTCGGAAATACAAAATGTCTTCTTTAAAAGAGGTACAGGAAACGCTGTTTTGATTTATTTGCAAGTGGGGAGACAGAAATCATTGAAATGGTGTGCTATGCAAATTCTAATGGTATATGTGTTTTGACATTCTCATGGTATATGTGTTTTTGACATTCCAGTGGTATATGTGTTTTTAACATTCTCATGGTATATGTTTTTGACATTCTGATGGTATATGTGTTTTGACATTCTGATGGCTGGTGGTATGTGTATATGGTGTGTTTTGACATTCTGATGGTATATCTGTTTCTGATTGACATCTCTGATGGTATATGTGTTGACATTCTGATGGTATATGTGTTGACATTCTGATGGTATATGTGTTGACATTCTGATGGTATATCTGTTTTGACATTCTGATGGTATATGTGACATTCTGACATTCTGATGGTATATGTGTTTGACATTCTGATGGTATATGTGTTGACATTCTGATGGTATATGTGTTGACATTCTGATGGTATATGTGTTTTGACATTTGACATTCTGACATTCTGATGGTATATGGTGACATTCTATGGTATATGTGTTGACATTTGACATTCTGATGGTATATGTGTTGACATTCTGATGGTATATGTGTTTTGACATTCTGATGGTATATGTGTTGACATTCTGATGGTTGACATTCTATATGTGTTGACATTCTGATGGTATATGTGTTGACATTCTGATGGTATATGTGTTGACATTCTGATGGTATATGTGTTGACATTCTGATGGTATATGTGTTGACATTCTGATGGTATATGTGTTTTGACATTCTGATGGTATATGTGTTGACATTCTGATGGTATATGTGTTTTGACATTCTGATGGTATATGTTTGACATTCTGATGGTATATGTGTATATGTTTTGACATTCTGATGGTATATGTGTTGACATTCTGATGGTATATGTATGTGTTGACATTCTGATGGTATATGTGTTGACATTCTGATGGTATATGTGTTTTGACATTCTGATGGTATATGTGTTTTGACATTCTGATGGTATATGTGTTGACATTCTGATGGTATATGTGTTGACATTCTGATGGTATATGTGTTGACATTCTGATGGTATATGTGTTTTGACATTCTGATGGTATATGACATTCTGATGGTATATGTGTTTTGACATTCTGATGGTATATGTGTTTTTGACATTTGACATTCTGATGGTATATGTGTTGACATTCTGATGGTATATGTGTTGACATTCTGATGGTATATGTGTTGACATTCTGATGGTATATGTGTTGACATTCTGATGGTATATGTGTTTTGACATTCTATGTGTTTTGACATTCTGATGGTATATGTGTTGACATTCTGATGGTATATGTGTGTTGACATTCTGATGATATATGTGTTGACATTCTGATGGTATATGTGTTGACATTCTGATGGCATATGTGTTGACATTCTGATGATATATGCTGGGTTGTTTTTCACTTATGGTATATGTGTTTCTGACATTCTCATGGTATATTTATTGACATCCTGGTGGAATATATATGTTGAAGGTGTGAACGATGTTCATATTCTCAACGTAAACTCGTTATTACAGGTGAATGTACGTTCACCCAACAACAAAACCACACACCAGATGTGCCAATCATTGGATCCAGAAAACAACAACATGGCTCCATTAATGTGACATTAATGTGAGATGTGCAGAGTCTAAGATTAATCCTCAAGAGGGATACTTCAGGTTATCTGTGTTTGAATCAGGCCATCAGCCATAAACCAAACCATGGCCTTAGAAGAGACAGTTACGGAGAGAATTACCGACAATCTAAGTAACAAACCGTACTTGGCCGGTCCGTGATTGAGTGGGGAGCACTGGACTCGCTGTGACGCTGTGCGGGTCAGTTGACGGGGTCGTTTCAAAAACAAGGCTTGACACTAACGGGAGTAAAAGATTTAATACCCGATAACATTGGTATCAAATCACCAACTTTATCGGTGGTTTTGTTTGGTAGGAATTGCTTTAACCGGGCTGGGGCAGACGAGGGCAGTCGTGGTCAATCTAAGGCAGTGTAGGGATAAAGGTATGAGCTGGGTTACAGGTTGTGTGGTCGTACGAGTTGGTACATAGAAGACTGGCATAACGGGTCAGAGATGATCGGTTAATTAGGAGGCATTCAGATCTAGAGATTTACGTCGATGAGTTGAATGACTTGCTATCAGTGTAATGTTGGTGGTCTGTGTAGGCTGTGTAGGGAAATGCCGCCGTTGTTACCAGCTTGGGGGGATGTTGAGACAGGTCGGTGTCACACGGTCAGGTTCTACTGGAAAGACATGACTCTCATAAACCACAACTACAGCTACGATACTAGTATAGTTAACATTGACCATCCACCTCACTATCAATCCTAGCCCTCTCTGACTCACTCACTCACGCACGAACGCACGCACGCACGCAATCACGTCATCACTCACTCA